AGGCTGGAGTGCAGTGGCATGATCTTTAGGAGGCTGAGGCAGAAGGATCACTTGAAGCCAAGAGTTTGAGACCAGCCTGGGCAACAAAACGAGACCCTGTCTCTACAAAAAAATTTTTAAAAAATTTGTTGGCTCAGGCCCGTAATCCCAGCACTTTGGGAGCCCGAGGCGGGTGGATCACAAGGTCAGGAGATCAAGACCATCCTGACTAACATGGTGAAACCCCATCTCTACTAAAAATACAAAAAATTAGCCGGGCGTGGTGGCGGGCGCTTGTAGTTCCAGCTCCTCCAGAGGTTGAGACAGGAGAATGGCGTGAACTCGGGAGGTGGAGCTTGCAGTGAGCAAGGATCACGCCACTGCTCTCCAGCCTGGGTGACAGAGCGAGACTCTGTCTCAAAAAAAAAAAAAAGAATTTGTTGGATATGGTGGTGCATGCCTGTAATTCCAGCTACTTGGGAGGCTGAGGTGAGAGAATCCCTTGAGCCCAGGAGTTTAAGGCTGTAGTGAGCTATGATTGCACCACTGCATTATAGCCTGAGTGACAAAGCCTGTCTCAAAAAAATTTTTAAAAAAATATTTTCTAAAGTTAGTAGTATCTACTTTACAGAATGTTTAGCTGGCACCTTGTGATTTTGGCATTGCTTTTGATTCACTGTTATTCTGAGCAACTATCGATAATTCTCTACCTGAGGACAGATGAAATGAAAAGTGTTTGTGCTGCAACAATCAACCAGGTGGGCAGAATATCATGTACCCCATGGAAACTTACCAAATATTCAGTGGTGCTAAGAATATGGAATGGCTCAAAGGGAAAATGAATTCTAACTTAACTCCAGTTTGAGGCAGCATCTCTAGGCTAATGTAAATTTTGTTTGTTTGTTTGTTTTTGTTTTTTTTGAGACGGAGTCTCACTCTGTCGCCCAGGCTGGAGTGCAGTGGCCGGATCTCAGCTCACTGCAAGCTCCGCCTCCCAGGTTTACGCCATTCTCCTGCCTCAGCCTCCCGAGTAGCTGGGACTACAGGCGCCTGCCACCTCGCCCGGCTAGTTTTTTGTATTTTTTAGTAGAGATGGGGTTTCACCGTGTTAGCCAGGATGGTCTCGATCTCCTGACCTTGTGATCCGCCCGTCTCAGCCTCCCAAAGTGCTGGGATTACAGGCTTGAGCCACCGCGCCCGGCTTACCTAAACTCTTAAATAGGGCAGCTAAGATTTGTACTTAGGAAAGGAATAGTGTGGAAGATTGGAGCTCGTGTAGAATGTATGTGGAAGCTTAAATTAATGAGGTAATTCTTTTGCAGCTTATGTAAACTGGACTGTTTACTTTTAGCCACCATGTATACTTACAGTTGTTGGTGATTGTTTTCTGCAGGACTGTGAAGATCCTAATCCTTTGATTCGAGCCTTGGCAGTCAGAACCATGGGGTGCATCCGGGTAGACAAAATTACAGAGTATCTCTGTGAGCCACTCCGCAAGTGCTTGAAGGATGAGGATCCCTATGTTCGGAAAACAGCAGCAGTCTGCGTGGCAAAACTCCATGATATCAATGCCCAAATGGTGGAAGATCAGGGATTTCTGGATTCTCTACGGGATCTCATAGCAGATTCAAATCCAATGGTAATAAGCTTCTGCTTTTATAAAGAGGGCAATATTTAAAATGAGTCCCTTGTTAAAGCATGTTTAATATGAACCTTGTCTCTGGAATACTGGGTTATGGGGTAGCTATGGGAAACATGACTTTGTGTGTCTCACTGATTGTATATTTCAGATCCTAGGTGTTTTTGAGTTGAGAACCAAGTACTAAAATGCAGGGACCTTAAAGCAAATCTTTGTGTTGTACCTATGCTCATATTTGCCCATAAACTTTCATCATTTTCTTTAGGAGGTTTGGTGTTAACTTTATGTATATTTAAGATTATTTTCTTCAGATCAATATTTGTGATATTTTCTGGTGGTGTGGAACTAGAAACTGAATGAAAATGATCTTTGTTACCTAATTATTTGATGCATTTCTCTATAGGGGAATTTCTAGTACAAGATTATTATTATTATTATTATTTGAGACAGGGTCTCACTCTGTCACTCAGGCTAGAGTGCAGTGGCGCGATCTCGGCTCACTGCAAGCTCCGCCTCCCGGGTTCATGCCATTCTCCTGCCTCAGCCTCAGGACAAGATTATTTTTAGCCAACTTGATTATGTTCTAAATGTTTAGCAGCCAGAATGTAGCTTAACACCTTAAAGTTTTTGAATCTTTTCTTTTCCTTATTGACATTTTAAACTTTGCTTGTATAATGAAGGAGATCAAGTCCCAAGTGATATATTTGACTCCAGTAGTAACTAAAGCTCATTTGAATTGGGTACTAATTGAATATATTGGATGAATCGTTAAATATTGTTGCAAAGAAGATGGAGGAAGATAGCCACTTTCTTTAAAGTGCTACCTTTTTGGTCTACTACAGTGTTTACTGAAAGGTGCATAACACTAAGAGTTAATCAGTGGATAGCCTATGAATATTCCCTTTTTAAAATTGCTTATCTATTTATTTATTTTTTTACAGACAGGATCTTGCTCTGTGGCCAAGCTGGAGTGCAGTGGTGCAGTCATAGCTCACTGTGACTTTGAACTCCTGGGTTCAAGCACTTCTTCCACCTCAGCCTCCTCAGTAGCTAGGACTGCAGGCACATGCCACCACATCCAGCTAATTTTTTTTTTTTTTTTTTTTTTTGAGACAGAGTCTTGCCCTGTTGCCCAGGCTGGAGTGCAATGGCACGATCTCAGCTCACCGCAACCTCTGCCTCCCAGGCTCAAGTGATTCTCCTGCGTCATCCTCCCGAGTAGCTGGGATTACAGG